TTTTTGTACTTATTATAAAACACAAATATAAAATACAAGTAATTAAAATATTTTGAATATTAGTTTTATATATTAGTGCAAAATGTATTAATATAGTGTCTGATTGTAAGTTCAGTTTATTTCAATACTTGACTTCAAATAATATATACACCACACACAGGCATAATATGCATGAAATGCTACATATGTAGGGCCTGGTTAGTTATGATATTAGTGTAAATCCATATTTTGTAATACTGTTCACAGGTACTTTTTGTGATCTCTTTTTATATCGGACTAGATCATCCTCACTCTTCATATTGTAGTTGATAAAGAACTCATTATAGGAGTTGAAGACATGGAATTTCCATATTTTATGTGCTTGCTTGGGCCTTTATTACAAATTTTCTAATTATATCCACTACATAAGGAGCAACATGGTCTTCTAGAATCACTGCCTTGTGTCAGACAAAATCAAGGCTCTGTCCTAAATGTTCAAGCCCTTGAAATAAATTTACTTCATGAATACTTTGGCATCTTTCTCACCATTTTATTGTTTAAGCACATGGTCTACAATATTCTTTGATCACACACCTCTAACAGTAAAAATTTTGCACACCCTCCACGGAAGTATTATGAGTATTATAATTTATTTAATATACATGCGTGCATGTATTTTAAGTTTTCAATTCTAAATTGTTTGTCTTTAATTAAGCCTGTGTATTCTCTGTCCTCACGTAGATCAAAATGAGTATCTCCAAAAATACAACCTAATGGGAACAACAGGAAAGAGTCATATCTTAAAAGTTCATATTATAGGGATATTGCTCTTATTAAACTTTTTTGCATCAAAATTAAATTATTGATATGGCATCTTCAAAGAAGGGATTTCTTCTGTTAGGGATTTGTGTGCTTACATGAGGGGGATAGTTCTGCATTAGAAAATCTGATCAATCTTTATCTCAATTTTTCACCTAAATAGGTGGAGTTTTTTAAATTACCACTATTTAATAATATTGTCTTATACTTATGATCTTTTACTTTCATTTAATTCTCACAAAGAGTCCCATGCGGTAGGGTCAGTTATTTTCATTTTATAGATGAGGAAATTGAGGCACAAGGTCACAGTTTGTCTTCTTTACACAAATCCTTAATATCTAATTTCCAGTGTAAAGTTATTTCAGGGAGATTGCTGCAATATCAAATTTAAAATGGAATTTTGTTTCATTAAGTTTAAGTGTTAAATATATTTTATTATAATTCTTTGAAAACTGGTTACAGGCCAGATTATTTTCAGGTAATCTAAGTAATCAATATCCTCCACTAATTGATCAAGCCAGATGTGAGAGGACAGGCCATATCAATTTCTGCTTTTTTCACATGGTGGTCTCTTGATATGACCTATTGACTAGCAATTTTTTTTAATATATTCTTTACTCTTGTACAATGTTTCTCAGTAGATGCTACTAGCATTTTGAGAGAGAATTCTCCTTTGTGCAAGTGGTATACCACTTTTTGCAATGCCTTTAGCATCCATCCTGACCCTTACCCACTGAACAGCAGTAATGTCTTTCCCCACTCACAATCTGTAATGCTCCGGAAGGGGCATGAGAGCCACTGAGCTAATGAAAGACAGACAAATCACTGACCCATGCAGCCAGTGACTTGCATCAACTTACCTTACACCACTAGTTAATAGTGTCTGTTGTCCATCTGATATCTGTAACTTTGAAATTTTATCATAGTAGGATTGCCAGATTTAGCAAATAAAAATTCAGGATACCCAGTTATCTGGGAACTCTATATTAAAAACAATGCAATTAATGTCACATTCTGGTCTCTCTTTAACCCACCAACTCAGAATCAGTAGCAAACTGGAAACTCAAGTATTTGAGATTTAGAAAAATTTGTTAAGTGACACATCTTAAATTTCAAGCTTGTAATGGCTAAAGGAATACTCTCATCACATAAAAATCTAATTTATATTAGCTAACAATTACTCTACTGAATGTAACTAAAAACAAAATACTCATGAAAATTTACATTTCTCCTGCTATAGATATTAGACATTGTATATTCTTCAGCTACAGTATAATTACTTAAGAAAAAAACCAAAGAGAGTCAGCGACTTAAGCAATAGGGCAAACCAGACTCAAATTATCTCATATCCAATCTGAAAAAGGTTCATGAACTTAATTTCTTGTGGAATAAGAGATAAGGGAATTATAACAAAGAATAATTTCAGTTTTCCTGACTGAATTGTGAAAACTCAGCGCTGTAGTGTTCCATACAATCTCTATTGACATGACTGACCTTGAGAAAAATGATAAGGCATTATTATCACATAACATGGTATCTCAACTGAATATGTACTCATGTGCACTAGTCTTTCTGTTTCTTTGTTTGTTTGTTTTAGATATTTTTTAAAAAGTGACAGTTCCTTAAGGAAGATAGGCCACAATGAATGAAAGATCTTTTAACCCATAGTAAAGAAACATAGCAAAACTATTATGAATAATGCAGCGAGTTTTTTTCTGAAAATGAAAGCTGCTATTAAATATGACAGGCTGTCACAACTAAAAAAAAACAAGTCAGCAATGTAATCATAGCAATAGCATTATATTTGTATTTAGTTTCTTTCAAGGACTTAAAATAATGGAAATCTTTTCTAAGTTAACAGTTTAGAATAATGTTGGCAAAAATAGCAAAAACTCAGATTTAAAAAATCTCTAAATGTGAAGCATATTAACATTATTTAGAGTCCCTGCTCTCCATGCTTTTGTTTTTTTCCAAATTTCCTTTAAGATAATTACATTTATATCCCTTTTGGTTTCCTGTGCATGATTATATTATTCTTTTTCTTTGTGATTTAGTATTTTTAACCAGGCTTCCTATTACTTGGCTTCAATAAATCCATAATCAGCTAAAATTGGATTATTTTTGCTTTTCACAGCCTCTAATAAAACCTGGATTTCCTGTAATTATTCTCCCTGTTGTAAAATCACCATTTCTTTTGTGACTTTAAATAAGAACGCTGTATAAATGTGTGATACAATTATCTCCACCTGGTGCTCAGTGAAGTTCCTTCATTATGAGCATTTTCTCAGACAGTGACGAAGCGTTGCACATGGACACGTATTAACTTTGTGCTCAGTGATAAATATCCCATCAGTAACAAAGGAGAAATTCGTTTCCCTATTGGTGGAAAGTTAACCCTGAGCAATTTCTTGCCTGCTGCTTGGCACTTTGGCCGCACCTCTTGACGTTCAAGGGGCTCCAGCCCTGCTGTACAATTTTACTAAAAAAACCAGTGAAATCAACCCCAAAGCCAGTTTATTCACAGCACATGATTTTCTTTCAGTGGTTTCTTTTTTTTAAAGAAATATATCTTTTCTTGATTTCAGAGAGAGGAAGGGAGAGAAAGAGTTGAAACATCAGTGATGAGAGAGTCATTGATCGGCTGCCTCCTACTCACCCCCAACTGGGGATCGAGCCCGCAACCCGGGCCTGTGCCCTGACCGGGAACCAAACCGCGATCTCCTGGATCCTAGGTCGGTGCTCAAGCACTGAGCCACGCCCAGCTGGGTTTTCAGTGGTTTCTTTAACCCAGTGTACAGTGCATAGTACTCACCCATTAAAACATACTTGGTAACTTTGCTCTTTCCTAAAAATATCAAGAAACGCTAGCCTTTTTTTAGGAACAAGTTTCTCCATAGAAGCAAGATATACAGAGCATGGTATATTAGGTCCCTTTAATACTGGTCAGAGTTTAAAGAAGCCTCAAATTTTAACTTATTTTAGGTGAAAAATGTGTGTCAAGAAACAGAGTGAAGGCTCTTAAACACAAAGGACTTGCTAAATCTGAGTGTGGGAGGAGAGATCGTAGGTCTCTACATATGAAAACTGCTGGACCTGGTGGTGTTTCGTAGGCCCAAATGAGATGCATTTCTCACAACAACCAGGGTAACTGGTGTTTAGGGTATTATTTTGATTTAAACTTAGATATGCCATATCTTACCAGTGCTCCCCATGCACTGGTACTGCATATATATTAAATTTTATTCTGAATGACTTTAGCGGCGTTAAGGTCACTGAAACACCAAAATAATAAGCCCTCTACGATTCCAAAGTGCAGGGTTTCTCATTCATATTCAGACCAGAGCAGTCTCCCAAACAGGAAGTGGCTCCTTATTTATCATGGAAATAAATATAGTTCCACTGTAGTGGAAACTTTGTGTCCTGGGAGTCTGTCAGTGACCTGATAGCACTTCCTCTCTACAACAGGCCTCAATTTGCTGGTCTATAAGATGAGGATTTTTTGACCGGATGATCTCTAAAGTCCTACTTTGCTCTGACATTCCTTTATTCTATAATTCATTATATAATTTTATGGGTAAATTTCCAGGTAGTTGACCTTTTTTTCTCTTCATAATTGCCTTCTTATAAATGGAAAAGCATATGGGTTCTACCTTTGCAAACTCTGATGTCTTGTCTGAAATAGAAAAGTGTAACATATTAAGAGTGGTATATGTTGTTTTTCTTCCCACTCTTTCAAAAACGTGTAATTACTGTAAAGTACAAAAGTTTTCCTCATTTGAAACACTGATTCTAACAAACCTGAAGTAAAGCACTGTTCCTTCTGGTGTAGCACAGACCTCAGACACTATTGTGACTATTTCTGCATGTCTGTAAATCACGTGGACATGAATTCTGCAAACAGACAATGTCAATACCATGCATTTATATCCCCTTTGTCAAATGTAGGTTTGGAGATTTTATCTTAGCATTCTGATGCTTCTAAACACTTCTTAATTGTAACTAGTTAAAGTAGTTTTCTTTTTAAAAAACTAGGTTGATTTTTAAAATTTATGAATAAGAATATTTTCCATTCCTTTGAATTTCATAGCTTCCTCGTATGGTTTGATGTCTTTGTTGATTATAGGTTTTATTCCACTTAAATGATCAACAACTTTTCCACAAAGAAGACTTTGATTAATGTCAATTTTTTAATCTCTTAAAAGGATCCTTCCCGGCCATTGGGATGGAGACGTTCTGCCCCAGCTTCCTGAGGGCAGGGTTTTTAAGTAGCATCCAGGCTCCGAATCCAGTGCCCGCGGGAGGATCGCTGCCCCCCAGGATTCCTGCTGGTAGGTATTTCAGGTGAAATTTTCTGTCGCCATATGCAACAGTGGGACTGTGGTCACACTTGATAGGCCACCATACAAAAATAAGTATTTCTAAAGAACATTGTTGAAAGAAATGCAAGTGACTATCATAAATGCACGAACCACATTTATGATACCCAGTGCTGGGAAAATGGTATAAAGGAAGCGGAAGGGAGGGCTGTCACCTGAGCGCCCAGTTAGCAGAGTGCTGCCTCGTCTTTAGGGGAAGTTTTTACGTAAATAAAAACTACAGCTTCAGCTCCCAAATGTGTGACTCTAGAATAAAACAGGGATGGACTTACTCTGCTTTGCCATTTGGAATAGGCTAGAAAAGAGAATTAAATACTGACTGTTATTAACAGAAAAAGTAATTCCATACCTGGTAAGTTTATAGAGATTTAACTAAAATTCCATTTCACTAAAGAAAAACAATTTGGGGAAAAGCCAGAAAGTTAACAAAATTGAAATTTTTGAGAAAGAAAATTAATGTGCACTTCTGCCTACAAATAACAAGCTGATCAAAGCCATATTCTATCAATGAGAGAAACAAACTATTGGATATTGAACATTTTAAAATGCAGTTTTAAAGTTTAGTAAATCAAAGTTTAGTGTGGATTATCCATTATTATAATCGCAAACTGTGTTTCCTCTGTCATTTTGTAAAATATCCAGCTGCCTTCTTCCCTTGTTCCTGAAGGATGCAATCCACCTTTATATTTTATATGTGTCTTAACAAAATAGCATTAAGATGTTGATTCTTGGAGTTTTTTAATCATAATTCTTGTCTTTTTATCATAATTAATAATTATGCTACAAATTATGATGATGACCATATGTATTCAAGAGGCTGGCCCAGCCAGCAATATACTGGGAACATTTTAAAAGACTGGGAAATCCAACAAAAACAAAATCCCAACATGCATATTTCTTGCATTTCTTAGCAAAATTATACCAACAAAGCCCAAGATTATTATATTGCCATTTTTCTTTTGCCTTTTAATTACACTTGCCTACTTAATTAAAACATACAAAGACTAACAAGCTATAAACATGCTCTGATGTCTTTTGGTTTTATCACTGGATATTTACTGATGTGGTTGGATACTTTGTGACCAGAAATGCCATACTGATAGAGTAAGAACCAAAAAAATTATGTGAATTCAAAATTAGCATTTTAGTTCTGATGAGCGTGCCACCTTTTTCTCTCCCTAAAAACAAAAAGGCTATCAGTTGCACAGGAATGTTCTTGTTGTTGTTGCAAATATAGAAATGTAACTTTCATAAATATTCTTAGTATCTCAGTGATTGGAATTAGGAGATGAAGGAATAATTTGTATTTTAATGGCTTAATTCTTAACTCAATGACAGCTCTTGGTGGATATAGGTATGTTTGGCAGAAATGACATAACAAAGTTCAGTAGTGACTTAAATTATCCAACATCACTGATGAAAAGTAAATAAATAACCCTTGTATAGCCAGTGAGGATGACAGAAGCAAGACGAGGTTTCTGTAGCACATACACAGAACCAGCTTTCCAGAGAGGAGCCTAAGAGAACGCTCTAGCATTTCTGTTCTTTTAGGCTTTAAGCCAAATTTGCCTCTAGCTTTCATAGGAGAGAAAACTCAGTTCAGTTTTTCATGACTTAAATATAAATCAGGTGTAACAAAATTGCTTCATAAAAAGTTTATAGATCTAAACTTGTTTCTGTTCCCTCAAACAAATTTGCTCAACTCACTTCTCCTAGCTTCTGTATCTCTGGTAAGTGATCCTTGTACACTGTCTCTGCTACTTTCCAGCAGTGGCTGCTGTGATTTCCAAGGTAATTTCCTTCCTCTTCCATTTAACTATAGCTTATTTCCCAAGAATTTTCATTATAATTTTGTGTAAAGAAGAATGAAGCTGCTATCATTAGTTTTTATTGTTTCATTTAAAAAAAAAAACAAAAAACACAAAAAACTAAAGTATCTCTTTGCCACACAATAGCTGAACTGATGACCCTTGAAGTCCCTACGCGGGCAGGGAGCAATTCCTCCCTTGACCTAAACCATGGCACTGTAAAAGGCTGGCCAAGGGTTGATGTCCTCTGGGCAGTAATTAATTTGCTTTCTACCAATTGACAGTACTTTGAGGGTCCGTGAAGACTTTTGCTGTGTCCTTCAAAGAATCACAAAACTTGTCCTGATGATGATGCTAATTAAGTTTCTCAGTTACTTATGTTAATCAGATTTAAATGAGATACATGTCTTCTATAAACTCATTTCTTTGCATTCATGTCACACTGTGCTACCAAGGAGCGCTATTTTATAGCACTTAACTTATTTTTACGTTAACTTCAATAATAGAATTATTGAATCATGAGACCCAGAAAGCAGACAAGCCTGAAATTAGTATTTATGTAACAATTGTCAGTTATCTACATTGTTTACATTTGCCCCTCTATATCCAAGGGTTTCCCATCCATGAATTCAACTCACCACAGATGGAAAGTATTCAAGAAAAAAATCTCAGAAAGTTCCAAAAAGCAAAACTTGAATTTGTCACACACCGACCACTATGCTGAATTCATGCAAATGAAGTTATGTGCAGGCCTAGCCTGCTGTAGCCCATGTGGTATATATAGGTTAGATATATATAGGTATATATATCAGGGACTTGAGCATCCTTGGATTTTGATATCCTGGCTGGAGGGGGACTACAATTAATCCAGTGTGTATACCAAGGGATGGCTGTTTATAAACTTTCTCATTTCTAGAAAGGTCTAGTAAAGGCTTATTAATCTTAGTTTCAAACACCAGGAAGTAACTGGCTGAAAGTTGAATAGCAAGTATATTCATATATTTAATGCAGTGTCTTCCATATAGTAGTCACCCAATGAAGTATGAAAATCAGGAGAGAAAAAGAGAGGAGAGCGAAGGTAGGAAGAGAGGGGAGAAGAGAGGAGAGAAGACAAGGAGATGGGGAAAGAAAGGAGTTAGAATGACATAACCGAATTTATATTCTTTAATATCAAAGCCTTTCCCATTGTGTTCCTTCCTATTCAAATTCTGCTCCTTGAAAAGAATGGATGTACCTATTCCAAACATGTTATTGGGCATGTACTCTAAAATGATAATAAGCTTGCTCTCTTTGCTATATCTAGTTATTTTTTTTAATTGAATTCTATAGTCAAACAGTACTTGGAAATGGGATAGAACATTTTACACAGGGTCTTAGACTAGTAGCTCACCTTATGACAGACTACCTCTACCAAAGCCTTTTATATTATTGAGGGTTTCACGTGCTTAACATACATAAATGAAAGCATGGTAATGAAGTCATGGAGAAATAAAACTATGCAGTGACAATAATGGAGTAACATGGATGTTTCACGGATTTGGTTTTCTCTGTCACTTCACAATAACCATCTGACATCAAGTGGTATCTTAAATTTATGTAAAATCCAAATATCACTATGTGTCTTAAAAACAAAACTTATTTATAAAATGTAAAGGAGTATTTATTATCTGATGATTACTTAGAAAATAATACCCCAGGTTGAGTAGGATTTGGATCAACACAATTCTAGCTTGCATTTTTCTGTCAGTTGTCTGTCACTTGCAGGAGACTGGAAAATAATGTTTTTCACTAATGAAGTAACTCATACATATATATAGATAGATTGGATTCTAGGCCAAACCGAAATGTATGCCTTAAACTAACAAGCTTTGCCGATTGTAAGTGAAGCCTATGAAAGAGGAAACGAAAACACGCCGCATGTGGGATTTAGAAATGGATAGATGCTGGAAAAAGAAAGTCCGTGTCGAAGGTCTCCCTAAGGCTTCCTTTGTGGTTAATCTTGGAGACTCTAGTTACTGAGGAAACACCACGTCAGTCTGTCTGCCTGTGCTCTAAATACAGGGCGATATATATGACCCCCTTTTGACGTTTTTCCCGGAGCTGCTTCTCGTTGCACGACGTGTTAGGTGACTGTCAGCACCTAAGATGCAGCAGGATGGAGCCAGTGGTTGTCTTCCCCTCATTGACTCCTGTGCCTCTGAATCAAATCACAGCAGGAATGTGAACACGTGGGGCTCAAAAACGAGATTGTCATCATTAATAACGAAGTTTAGTATCATTTCTTTCTTTACCCTTTGGAAAGAGATTTGGATGAGCCGTCAACTCGAATAGCCAGACCCTCTCATACCCTCATCCCTGTGCCCCGCCTGGCAGCCTTAGGAAGGGAGTCCGCAGTCCACTTCGCTCTAAACCAGTAGCAGATCCATCCTAATCCATCCTAATCCATTTCTGCAGCAAAGGTCCCCAGTGCTGAGCCAGTACTAAAATGCCTTCAAAGTCCATTAACAACGATTAGCAATACTTCCCTTTTTATAGTTCATGTGAAATCCCATCTCTGTGGAGTCAGAGCAAGTATTGCATGCGTTCTTGAGTCAAGGAAAAGTTTTTATTCGGAAGGCGTATCGTTTAGATGTTAGAAATAAGCTGGGAATGACAAATAGGGTTGGAGCTGCAGAGAATCTCGGATCTCGTGACTGTGGTATTATCGGGTTTCAATGCAGAAAAGCAGTCACACGAATATGTAAGACTAGGTGGCAGACTTCGGAGGAATGTACAGTGAGTTAAGGAAAATTGGCATGGACTCGATATGTCGAGGGAAATCAACAGTGGAAAAGTGTATACCTTTTAAATACAATCAAGTACAGAAAAATCGAGGCAAACCATTTTATTTCTTCATATGTTCAGGCATTCTAGAGACAGTAACCTTGTGTTGGGTTCACAATTTGACATTTCAAAATTAGTCACTTTTGACAAGACAATTTCTGGTGACTGTAGCTCTGCTGAGGAGGGTTATTCTTTTTATATTTTTTGTAGTATTTATGACAATTTACCTATTTTATCTTTGACAAAATGTTGTTCCAATAAATATACATAAAAGATAAGAGACAGTGGTTTACTTTTTTTAGTAAGAAATCTTCAGGGGGA